GTTCATAAAAAATGGAAACTATAAAGCGAGAGCTTTAGTTTCTAAAAAGTGAGGACTTAACTTTCTGAAGAAGATGACTTAGCCTTTTAGAGGATGAGAACTTAGCTTTTTGTATCGTTTCCCATAGACGGCGCCAATTGATGAATCAACTTTTTGTGTTAAGTACCTCGTCATTTGGTCTGCTTCCAAGTGGCCGATGACTCAGGCCGAAGTGGAGAACTTTGGCTGTCGAGCTGAGTCGAGTTGGGCAGGCTAGGTGGCAAGCTGACTATAGTGCTGAGTTGCCAATGAGGTGCCGAGCTGACCAGGTGGCGAGCTGCCTGTGAGGTGCCGGGCTGACCAGGTGCCGAGCTGACCAAGTGCCGAGCAACCACCCTAGTGAACACCCCCTCCCTCCTATAGTGGGCGCAACATTTACTGAACCATCAGTGGTTCCCCCTAGAGTCAGACAGTCCCAACTTGGCGACCTGGTACACTGTGTTCGGGCCATTCAGGTCTAAATGCAACAGGTCCAACAATTTCAGCACTACTAGCAATAGGTCCTGCACCATTTCTACCAATAACAGTACCAGCAGCAATTCCCTCCGCTGTAGTAGAATCAGCAGCTGGTTCCACCTCGGCACCCGAAAGCACAACAGAATCAGCCCCGTCGCCAGAACACTCGCCCTTCTTGCCGGAGAGAGACTTCCCAGGTTCCACATCCCCTTGGGAGCCATGCCTCGTCCTACGGCAGGAGGGACAGATAAGTCACTTCTCCCGCTTCGCAGAATGTGAACAGATCGGGTGACACTCAGCCCGCCAGAGCCATTTCACCCCGGCCCTCACATCATGAAGGTTCGCTTGCAGGGAACTGGTTCGGGGTCCAGGCTGTAGACTCCAGATGAGGCCCTTCCGTTCACGGTAGCCAGCATCARCAGTCTGAGCCGCTCTGTGCCAGGACAATACCCGACCACACAAATGTCAGCAGCACCAATGCGGAGCCAGTCAAGAAGCAGTAAAGAAGGCGTCGTAAGGCACGCCAAACTGTAGTTCCAAGCCAGCTCGCCGGTCCTAGTCAACCTGAGCAGATAAAAGGTAAAGGGGAGGCGAGCTGTAGAGACAGTTGCCAGAAAAAAGACCGATCCGCGGAGTAATCAACATGATTACTTGTAGATCCATCATCGCGGGCTACACCTCAGCAGCGGGGAAAACCTCGGTTCGTGAATTAGAAAATGAAGAGCAGTTAGATCGCATATCATCATTTGGCGTTGTCTATGAGAAACGCTACAAAAAGCTAAGTTCTCATCCTCTAAAAGGCTAAGTCATCTTCTTCAGAAAGTTAAGTCCTCACTTTTTAGAAACTAAAGCTCTCGCTTTATAGTTTCTATTTTTTATGAGCCCAAAGACTATGCAGGAAGTTGATAGCTAACAGACTAAGCAACTCTACCAACTTTATTTCAACTCAGATAAAGCCTCATCAGTSCTCTTTGAGGGAGTTGGCGGCCAACAGACTGCATGGACGCCCTTATTGGTCAAGCCTTCCAAGGCTCCCGTGCGAGCTGGCGACCTAAAGTCAGTAGTGTTGCCCCCGTAGGTCGAGCTCCTAGTAGTTTCTCATAGGAGTGGGTGACCGGCGTCGCGAGGCTGATGCAGTGCAGCCATAGCACTAAAGTACCGAACTGGCGAAGACCTCGGTACCACATAAGACCTAGTCGCCTCTTCGGCATGGGCAAAATCAATGAGAGTGGAATACGAGTCGCTCCCAGAGCCTAAGGGCTAAAATACCACATAAGACCCAGTTGCCTCTTTGGCATGGGCAAAGATCAAGGAGAGTGGACTACGAGTCGCTCCTAGAGCCTAAGGGCCAAAATACCGAACTAGCGAAGACCTCCTCACCACATAAGACCTAGTCGCCTCTTCGGCATGGGCAAAATCAAGGAGCGGACTGTGAGTTGCTCCCAAAGCCTAAGGAATTGAATAGATGCTTACGAGCTCATCGAATTATTCATTTCCGGCCAAAAGGAGAAATCTACTCCCTTCGYCGAGTTACTTTCAGCTCGGGAGTGGGGGGCAAATGATGGGGTGGATTTGGCCCTGCAAAGACATTATGACACATGGCACCTCAGAATAACTAGGTGATACCCAGAACCACTCAGGCAACAACTTGCCAAGTTGATGGTGTCCAACCTGACAACATGGCCTAGGCGCGGCCTGGTGGCTTGGCACATGCGCCGACCTGGTGGCCTGTTCTAGGCGCAAGTTGGCGGCTTGGCCCAGGCGCCGACCTGGCGGCCTGGCGTAGGTGCCAACCTGGCAACCTGCGAGATGTGCTTGCCGACAAATTTGGCATGCATACCCCACGGTCCTTGGAGGTTGGCCCTTGTTCTGGAAGATGGTCAACGTGCATGGCAATTACCTCTGAGGATCTCAGAGCAGTTATACATGACCTCCCGGAGATCTCGGGGGTGGTACGTGAGCAAGGCCTATATAAAGGCACCAACCCCAATAACAGGGGGCAAGTAAGCAAGTAAGCAAATTCTAGCTCTCATACTTTGTGAGTTTTAGTTCGTAGTCTACTATGAGAGTACTGACTTAAGCATTAGAGCGACATCGCCGGGTTAGCCACCTCAGGTCCTCTGACATTTGGTTCCTTGCAGGTCTCTAAAGAGCAACGAAGCTCATCAATCCAGCTCAGCACCTGGTCAGCCCGACACTTCCTAGGCAACTCGACACCTGGTTAGCCCGACACCTCCTCGGGAGCTCGACACCTAGTCAGCCCGACACCTCATAGGCAGCTCGGCACCTCTCAGGAAGCTCGACACCTGGTCAGCCTAGCACCTCACAGGCAGCTCGCCACCTGGTCAGCTCGACACCTCAGGCAACTCGACACAATAGTCATCTCGCCACCTAGCCTGCCCAGTTCGAGTTAGCTCGACAACCAAAGTTCTCCACTTCAGCCTGAGTCATCGACCACTTGAAAGCAGACCAAATGACGAGGTACTTAGCACAAAAAATTGATTCATCACATCTGTATAATAAAATAATGTTGTTGCAGAAATTTCCGATCCGTTAGACAGAGTTAATCCCTTATTCAATACCATACATCAAGAAATTGTTTTGATTTTCAGGTGCCGATGGACTGCATCTGAGCTCTATCTTCCTGACACCAAGGACATTGTTACCTCATTTGTGGAACAACTTTCTGACACACTTGAAGAAGCTACGACAGTAGAGGAGGTGGTCCTTGTGAAGAAAGCCGGTTGCTTGGGTGTTGGAAAATTTGCAATCTCACTAGTGAGCATGGCAACAACAGAAGCCATTGTTGGTCGGTCTGTTGCATCTTCTTGCACACACACAAGTCCCACATGGATGCACTTCAAAATCTCTTCGACATTGCTTGCTTTATTTAGCTGTGGATCCATCAACTCCAACCCTTTGTTTTCCTTCCATAGTCTCCATGCCTAAACATTAATAATCCTCGAACTTAATTAGACTTGGATCTATTAAGGGATCAACGTACGTAGAATTATTTTGAAAAGAAAAATTAAAACATGCAAGCTATTACTTAATTAATTAATTACTTACATGTCCTAGAAGGGTTAATGTATGCTCAGATTTATAGAAGCCAGTGTTCTTCTTTCCACTTATGATCTCAAGTAGCAGAACCCCAAAGCTGAAAACATCAGATTTCACAGAGAAAGTCCCGTCTAAGGCATACTCAGGGGACATATAACCACTGCGTCCACCAACAGGCAACAGGATTTCTATTGGTTAGTGGTCAATAAATTAATTAATTGTAAATAACAGCCGTTAAATTAAATTTATGATGTGGCATTAAGAATCTTGTCTTAATTTGATGTGCTACACTACTTACTATGTACCAACCACTCTATTTGTGTTTGCTTGGATTTGATTTCCGCCAAAAATCCTGGCCATGCCAAAGTCCGAGATTTTTGGAGTCAATTCCTCATCTAGAAGAACGTTACTAGCTTTTAAATCCCGATGGATGATTCTTAGTCTAGAGTCCTGATGAAGATATAACAAGCCCCTGGCAATTCCCAAGGTGATGCTAAACCGCTTTCTCCAGTCCAATAATGTACGTCGATTTTCATCTGCAAAAATTAATTTCCATTGGAATCGGCATATATTAACATGAGTTGATCAAATTGTAAATGCAGTCTAAAAATTCAGAAGAAGCTTCTCAAGGTATAATGATATTCCTAGAGGAAATTTTAAGTTTCAATAACATTTCACAAAACATCAAAAACTGCCACATAAGCAAAAAAACATTTCATGTAAGAGTTTGTTTTTGTTTTCAAAAACAGAACTATGTGCATTGACAAACACCCCCATGGAGTAAGAAAATACCAAAAATTCCACAGAGAGAGGGATTTGAACCTAGGGGTTATGGGTGTGGTGGTGTGCTACTGAACGGCCCCTATGGGGGATGTGGGTGCATCACCAAACATCAAAAGAATAAAAATAAAAAGTAAAAAATAAATGAACCTTCAAGACATGGGCTTTGATATCCCAAATCTCTGTTGCAACAAGTCAAAGATCCTACCCACTAAGCTGCACAACATATATTTTCATTATTTGGACATAATTCAAAATTAAATAGTAAGGGCCCCTTTGTTGTGTCTTTTTATGCAGTCTTTCGGCTGTTTTACAAGTCAAGCAAATCAATTTTTGGTCTATTTCCATTTGGTGCACGGAAGATCTAGTTACCAAAAGCTAGAATGCTGAAAAGACRTGAAAAACCCATTTTAGGCTGATTTTGAGAAGTTCTAAATGAAGTTTATCACATCTTTCGCGTTTTATTCTCACGTGAAAAGGCATGGAAAGATKCACAGAAAGACGTGTATATACCAAATGTGTTTCAGGCTGCTTAGATCTTCATACAAAAGTTCAATAATGCATATTTTAACCGTCAAAACTACCAGAAGATCTTCCCAAAAAGACATGCCAAATGAGCCATAAATTTTTAAGTTATAGGACGTACCAAAGAGAAAATAGTCCAAACTTTTGTTTGGCATGTACTCGTACAACAACATCTTCTCATCCCCTTGAATGCAATAGCCAAGCAGTCTAACGAGATTCCTATGTTGAAGTTTTGCAATTAGTGTAACCTCATTCTTGAACTCTTCTAACCCTTGATCAGAACCCCTCGAGAGTCTCTTTACAGCTATTTCTTGTCCTCCTGGTAACTGACCCTGAACAACATTCAATAAACACATGTATATATAATTTAGAGGGGATTGAGGGTGGAGTTGGGATTTCATGTAGGTCGCAGTTATTGGAAAGAAGAAAATTTTGATACATAAATCTTGGACGAGTTTGAAATATTTCTTAGCTTAAGCAATCGTAGGGTACCTTGTAGACAGATCCAAAACCACCTTTTCCAAGCTTATTTGAATCTGAGAAATTATTGGTGGCAGACAATATACTTCGATAATCAAAACTGGGCGCGTCAAAGTCTTCTTTGCCATCTCCCAGTTTATCTATATAAATGACAAATGAAAACTTGCATATGTTTCATTTTGTTTTCAATTTTGATAAAGATGGTTAATAGGATTTTGATTCTCATTGATCAAGAATCCCATGTTCTTTTTTCAGATTTATGTGAGGATTAGGAAAAGTTTATTTTCTTGGGTATCACTCACCCCCATCTCCTAATYGGGTAAATAACTTTTCCACGGAAAGTTGCCAACACTTGAATGAGACAAAAATAACTCTTATAATAATGAGTTTTTATGGTTAAAATAAAAAGAACATGCGTAAATGCACTTACCCTAGTAATTCTTTCCTGAGAAACACATACCCATGTAAGTAAATAACTCACCAAAAAGCAAAGGAGGTCTTAGTATGTTCATCTTTTTCTTCAAACCATAAATGCAGACGCCAATGAAGAGGATCCCTATAACAATGGTCACAGGAATTATCACAGCCAACATGCTCTTGTGATTTGAGATTTGTTCCAAGCCGCCGTTAGCTGAGGTGAAAAAAAAAGTGCAGTTTCAATTGACTTGTACTGTAAGAAAAAAGGATGAATGAGGGACTATTTCCTACATACAGCTCTCAGTAAAGTTGAACTTCAAGATAGTAACCACAGCTTAATGTGACCGGTATTTCATATGATGAAATCATCCCATCAAGCTAGCATTGATCTTTATTTTTGTCGTTCAATGGTCATGCAGGGCATTACTACTTGAAGAGATTTAATTGAAGTAAGCATATCACAACTCTTAAATAGAAGTAGAGGAACAGAGGATGCATTTTTGATCAGGAAATGATGATCTTCATTGTCATGGAAATCAAGCAAATTAATATATGCTTAATTACCAAGTATGTCGGCAGGAATGCAGCTCCCATTTGTTGAATTCCACTGGAAATTCGCATTGCAAATGCACCTCCTTGCTGATTTTGTTGTATTGCAGGCTGAATTTGGCCAATCCCTACAGTCCTCGTTCAAAAAGCATAACGGCTCAGATGGCGGATCCCACTCAATTTCGACTGCACTTGACCAATTTCTTACTGCTGATGCTGATGACTCTAAATCAGGGACAAGTATGCTTGTATACATACGGCACCCAGCAAAGCTTGATATACCGATGGAATACATTGTTGAGGGCAAATACCCGGCGACATAACTACAGCAACTAAGCTGATTAATTGAACAAGAATTGCGGTCCTGTTTATCTTGCTTAAGTTTGTCGCATGTATTAGAATTAGTGCAATTCAAAGGCGATGGGGGAAGGTGTGTCGGACAATCTACCAGCAGAATGGTATTGTTGGTGGTAATGTGAAAAGGTTGGGTAGGATCCAGTTTTAGGTCTGTAGACACGAAATCCATAGAGTAACAACGCTCATAGGAAAGAAAAGCAAAAGAAGATTCATAGGAAATACCGATAACCAACGTTCGGCTTTCTGCGGTGATGTTGATAATTGGATAAGAGACATTGGGTGTATCGAATGAAAGAGTTCCCGGGTATCCATAACAAGTAAAACTGCCATAGGCTGGATCCCCACAATCCTTTTCGGTGCTAAGGGGATATGGGATGACTTGTCCACCACAGTCCCCGCACTGCCGCCTTCGACTACGAGTTGCTTCAAGAACAGAAAAAGTACTTCAGCCACTATACAGAAACAGAAAGGATTGCTTTTTTATTTTATTTTATTTCTTATCACTTTTACAAACAACCAAAAGATAAATAAGAAAGAAAGAATTGCTTTTTTCATGTCTAACCACGTCACATTACTAAAGTTCCATTCCAATTCTTTTCTATTCTTTCTAATTTCCCATGCACTATTAAAGTCTCATTTTCTCTAATGTCCCCCAATTTTAAAACATGATAATTCAGTACCCAAACTTTCAAAACGTGTCAATCCAGTAATTGCCATTAACTAGTCGGGTAAGTGCTATTTAAAAAGACACAAATACCCTTCGAATATTATCTAATTTTTTTTATAATTATAATGGTTGGTAAAAATAAACAGTTCCAATGTCATAGACCCATGGGTCAAAGTAATTAAAGAAATTTAGGAGAGTCATTGGGGTGTATAAGTATCTACATGGGGTCTATTAAAAGTCATAAGTTGAATTTAGGATTGTTGAGTCACGTTGGGAAGTTATGCGGGGAGTCGTCAAATTGAGGTTGGGGTAAGTCGATCAAGTTGTTACTTAATTTTAGGAGAGATGGTTTTAGGAGTCAATTATTATCCAAGAGTCTATTTAAGTTGTAATTTCCCTATGGTGAGAATTATCTTTTGTTAATTGAGAGTTATCTCTTTCGAGGTGTCTGTATCCCTCGAAGTAGACAGAATTTACGTTACATTCCTATTTGGGTTTGTAACAAATGGTATCAGAAACTGCACTATGCCTCCCAACTGCAATTGTGCAGTCCAAGTGGTAACATCGGTATTGTGGTGTTCAGCTAGAACTAGGTTTGCAAATCAATGGAATTAGTAACTAGCATTTCCTTGAAGGACCCCCTAATGAAAACTATGAAATGTGGACATGTCAGTAATGGAAATATATTCAAAATATGGCTTTATCTCTGCGTTTTGATACCCATCGCGGGCGTGTTCTTGTTTTGTACATGGTAGCAGTGCTTCCAAATTAATGAACGCTTGAAATGAAAACTTACAAATTTGTGAAGCATCGACATGCAAGAAGAGGTCGTAGCTCCCCTCATCTCGGACGGAATACGCCGGCCGAAGGTGCGTCAGATTTCGCAACCACAATAGGCACCGAACAGTGCCGGCACTGTTTCCCCCGGTGCAAGCATAAGCGCTACAGTCACAGTTGCTTCTACATTCTGTTTCACAGCTCTCTTTAGTTGACGTTTCGAAGGAGTCATCCGCCTCCGCTATTTGCATCGACTTCAAGAGTAGGAACCCATCCTCCCCCTGTCCGCATCGGGATAATGGCACCTTTCTCTTGCATCCACCGGACCAATTTCTGGAATGCCAATCCTTTGGTGAATTTGGCTCAAACCCTTGCAGGCAAGTACAATTTGTGGGATCATTAAGAGTATCATCATCAATTTCAGAATTTATGTCGGTGGTGCAAACAGCGAATGACCCACAAGTAGAATAGATGTTGCATCGATTCGTGGGTTGCCACCAGAATAATTTCCATTGTCCACCCATTTCGTACCAGATGTAAAACTGTAACCGGCCGCTTATGTCCACAACCATCCTTGACCTGTAGTCTGAGATATATGTGAAATATAACTGCTCGTTATCTGTGTTCATCTTGAAGTGGAAAAGGTAATGCTCGTTCACTTCAGGAATCCCCTCGAAAAAGCCACTATGATTCCAAGCACCGCTCCTCCAGTATGAAACATTTCTTGCCCACATGGATAGCTGATAGTTGAGTTCAGAAACATCTATGCCAAACTCAAAGTTTCCTGGTGATGGATCATTTATGCTTTTCCACGATTGTAGTAGAACTCGCTTATCGTCAAGGTTTGCCTTTAATTTCATGCCGGGAAGAAGTGTGTCAGTGGGTTGATCGAAGCTCTGCCATAGAATATTGCTGAGATTCCTTTCAATCAGCATTAGATTTCCCGAATCCGTAAGCACCGCCGTTAAATTGTTTGAGGCGGATGAGGTTTCTGTGGACCAAATGGCTTTCTGTTTTGCACCCAAAATCTGGAGATTTCCAGTCTTCCCCAGAGTCAGAATTCCAGAGGAATCCGGAAGTGCGTATTCCCTGTTGGCAACCCAGATCACAGTTTGTGGCTGAAGGTCATGATACCATATTCCAACGTATCGGTTATTGGAACCCTCAGGGCTGAAGAATCCTAATTCGAAAATTCGCCCTGCAGAAATTATGGTTTGCCCATCTCTAATCGTCTGATTAAAAGTTAAAGAATCCCCCAAGCTAAATCCAAATATGTAAAGAAGGATGAAGCAAGAGATGAGAAAAGCATACCCTTTATCAATGGTTCCTTCCATGTAGAATAATCAGCAAGACCAAAATCTTACTGCCTGTAATCTGTGTTTGGATTATCCAACAAAAGAGCATGAAGAGCTGAGGCTTACACTTGTTTATTTTCTTTTTGAAGCCACATTTATTTTATTATTTGACTTTGAAAGACTAGAAACCAAGTAATAAAAAGCCTCATTTAGCAAAATTGAGAAAAAAAAGAACAAAAATGCTGAAGTAATCATTTATATTTTTACTTTTATGGACTGAAATGCCAGTGGATATGTAGCAAAAGAGAGAACATCAGCAGCGTTCACATCCCCTTTCCGTGCCAATCAAATACAAACACGTGGTTGCTTGAAATAAAATATCGGTTGATATTTTTAATAAACGGCCGTGATTTGCTGTAGGATGTTGTGGAGCAATTTTGTGGAGGGCTGATTTGATCTCCCGGATTTTCTGTAGACATAATGAGCGATCACCACTTGTTCTTAGCACAGGTGGTGGTCTTCTCATGTGTGGTTTACTTAACAGAGTCCACCGATACAAAGGCAATTTTGATGTAACGGAATAAGTTTTGAATATGCATAGATACAAATAAAAAATTAAGATAGGTACATAAATGTTAGGAAATTCAAACAAATCATATAAAAATATATTATTAACAATGTTCATAAATTTTATATGATTATAAATAAGTCATTTAAATGTAAAAAAATCATAATTTAATGTTTATATAAAATGTGATATATCAAGATATAATTAATAACTATTGAGTCATAATTCAAATGCTAGAAATCTAAACCTAGGAACCAAATCTCATTATTTCAATTTGTCCATGTATATCTAGAATAGAGAAACTTGAACCTTTAAGGTCTGTTTGATTGTTGAGTAAGGGATGAGAAAAAGAAATATTCTCGAATGATTTTTCTTGCGTTTGTTTACTGATAAACAGAGAAAGAAAAGGGACGCGGGATCCCAAAATTAAGTGCCCGGTGAGAAAAGAAAAGTTGAGAAAAAATCTCGATTTTAACAAAGCAAAAAGTCAGCGGAAGGTTGAGCACCGCCTCTTCTCAGCGGTTGCGGAAGGTCGAAGGCACCGCCTCTTCTCGCCTTTCTCTCTCTAGCAGGAACAGCGGAAGGCTGAATCGAAGAACACCTTTCCACGTCGCAGGCAAGTTTTTCTTCTTCTTTTTCTTTTTTTTTTTCTTTTTGTTCCGAAGGTTAAATGTGGTTAGAAGATCAGACATTGGTGATAAATAGAAGGCTGAATCGAAGAACATCTCCCTTGTTTGGAGATAAATAGAATCCACCTACGGTAGGGGAAGTGATTGGTGGAATCAATCGAAGAACATCTCCCTTTTCTTAGGCTGGGACCTCTGATTTTGGCTGCCAAATAGACCTAATTGAAATCTTTATTTCAGTTTTGTGGTTCAGAGTTTAGAAGCTCTCTTGCTGAACCGATGTTCAGAGTTTAGAACATCTCCCTTTTATTTCAGTTTTGTGGTTCAGTTTTATTTCAGTTATTGGTTTGTAGTCTCTTCACATTGAATTTATGCTTCTTATCAGTCTCCATTTTTTTTTTTACTTTCTCTTCAGTTTTCTATCCTCTTCAGTTATCTGTCTCAAGTTAAATCTGTCCAAGTAAAACTACTCAATGCTGTCTCAAGTTAAATCTGTCCAAGTAAATATGTGTTTTGTACGTTAAAATCAAATTGGGTATGTGATATTTATGTCCAGGTTCCAAACATTGGCTCTTAAATTATGGTGCCGTGGTTAGAAACAATAAATGCTGCATTATATAAGGAGGCTAAGCAGCTGCTTATATCCAGCTAACTTCCATAAATGGGAAGAAAAAATGGTTGTGGTGGGACGGCAGGCGGTGGAGGGAATTGGTGTGTTCTAAATCTAAACCTCGCAGGAAACTGAACTATGAAGGGAATTGGTTAAAATAGTTGGAATTAGAATTGGTCAAAATGGATTCTCATTCTCAGGGGAAGGGGAGGGAATGGTCATCTTCTCATATTGGGGAATGCCATTTCATCAAGAGTTGGAATGGGTATGGAATTTCGATTACACTCAACTAAACAGTTAGAATAAAAATAGACCATTCTAATTTCAATTCTGGACTCCTATTTCCACAAACCATTCGGACCCTGAATTTTCAAAAGATGCCTGCTGTGTATTTGTTAGCTAGTTAGTGATGAAGTTAAAATAGGTGTGATTAGCAAGTGATGATGCTGGTAAAGAGATGAAGTTATTGGTTTGTAGTCTCTTCACATTGAATTTATGCTTCTTCTCAGTCTCCATTTTTTTTTTTTACTTTCTCTTCAGTTTTATACTCAATTTGGGAGGACTGCAAATACAAATGTTTTCAGTACAAAACCTTGTACATGGTATTTCTAAACAAAACATTGCATTTCTAAACAAAACCTTGAAAATGCCTAGTTTTCATTTTTGATGAATAAGTGGCCTACTAGAACAAGTTTATTGATGGGTATTGCCACATAGTCCAATCCCAACAACTGTCAGAGATGGGTGACATTTTTGAGAAGAGACCAGAAACAAAAACTTGAGAGAAAAATTTTAAGGAATGTTACAAATTCTGTTGAAAATTTTATTTCTTCGAGAGAATTCTCTATGAAGTAGGATCATTTTTGTTGCTTAGAACTTCATTTCTTACATACGAAATGCCCATTTGGAGGGTTGAAGTGCAGTGGCTTCTGGCTTTCTGAGATGGACCCAAAATGAAAAGCTTATAAGCTATGTTTGATGAAAAATCAAGAGAGCCCAAATCAGTTTTTATTCAGTCATTTGAAGGACTGTCTGCTTCAGCAGTAGCTGAATCTTCAGCTCAGCCCTCCCAAATAGACACTGAACTTTTGAAGCTGACACCCAAATTTAAAACACCCCCAAACCAAATGGTTAGAAGTGAGATTTTTTCTCTAAGATATGAGTTTCAAAGTACCCTTCTTAAGACATTGGAGAAATTGCCTACATTGGTTATTGATGTCAGAACAATATAAATAATGTTAAATTTTATTGTTAATGCCCTGATATGCATAAAGATGCTAAAATAGAAACATGGTTGAGTTTTTATTGTCAAATTCAAGAACATTAATATGTATATGATTATCCTGTTCAATAGAAACATGCTCTTACTCTTGGTCTTAAGGGTAAGTATATAGAGTCTTTTAATGCTTGTTTATTGCAAAATGAAGTGATCTTTGTTTTAATATTTATGGAATTTCTTATAGTCCATTCTATATAAATAAAATACAGTTTGGGTTAGGGTGGAGAGTGGCAGTTTGGCACTTCAGTTTGGGTTCTAGGTCGATCCAGTCCAACTTGGCATGCAGGTGTCCTAGGAACGGTGCATGCTGGGATCAAATCTACCTCATTAACAGAGGATAGTGAAAGGAAACAGTGGGAGAATTTCAGGCCTTAAATCACTTTGCCACTTCAAAGATTAATAGATCCTTCAACATTCTTTGCTAAACAACCTGACTAACAGTCCTGCTCCCACAACACCCAAACCCACAAACATACACATACAAAAACATATATACAAAATTATATATGAATTTAGGCAATGACTACTTTTCTTGGTTAATGGTTGCTCTTATTTTTTTTTCATTGACTACTTTTCCAGCATGTAAATTATATAGGCATTTTAGAATGAATTCCCCAATTTATTTATTTATTTGTTTATTTATTTTCTATGAATAGATGGAGCAAAATTTGCTTTATGCAATTGTAGGGGCTGCAACTGCTACGGTTGCAGTTACATTTTCATTGTTGCAAGAATATGTGGATTATATTGATAGGGAACCATCCGTGAACCGGGATTTTGAACGAAGGGATTTATTGGATAGATTATATGGACAAAAAGAAATAGATTGTTATAACCAATTGAGAATGGGGAAAATAGCATTTACAAGGCTATGTAAGATTATTCGTGAGACAGGAAGAATACATGATACAATGAGGTGCACAGTAGAAGAACAAGACTTTTTGAATGAATTATGTTATTGAATGCAACTTCTTTGATGTACCAACAGGTCCAAATAATAGAGCAATTTTAGTTTCTAGTAGTTTCTTTTATGAATGCATGCACAGGTTTTTTCACAAAAATTTTCTCAGCAAACAAACACTAGAAAGTGGATTTTCTCACAAAAATTTTTTCAGCAAACAAACACATTACAACTAACTGAGAAAATAAATTTTCCTTTTCTCATCCCAACATTTCTCATCCCATCCTTTCTCAGTCCAATTTTCTCAGCAATCAAACGGACCCTTAAAGAACTTGAGCATTACTTGTTAAAGGAATGTCTCCATACTACGGAATCTTACCTAACTTTAAATTAGGTTATAGAATATTTAATAAGATCTACAGGACAAGATTATGAAGATGACCAGCTAAATGAAATTGAAGAATGTTTCTTGAGGCAGTTGGATGAAAATGAAGGGATAACAAGTGATGGCACTGAGAAATTGGCTAGAGAATCAAAGAGGGTGCAGATGAGTCCCAAGCGGCTGCTCTCATCGCAACACAATCTCTGCAGCTTTATCTCTGCAGTAATTGCAATCCGATGGTTGGGGGTATTTCCAGTGCTACAGAGGAATTAGAAAGTCTATAAGATGGGTAGGGGACCAGCACCCTCCAAATTGGCCATGTATTCCCAAAAGCATGTGATTTCTGGATCCCAACCTAGAAGATTTCCAGGTGATACAGCAGCTTAATTTAAGTTTCAACTCATCAATAGCCACTGTTTGGCTAATTAATTACTATTCTTGATAATAATTCCAAGCTCAATAGCCACTGTTTCAATATATACTTATTCCCTTTGAATGCCAGGCTGTTGCAACTGCACAGAAGCCCAAGTATCCAATCACTCATCTAAGGCTAACTAACATTATAATGAAGAACCACCTCTGGTATGAACGTCGTTGGTTAGGGTTTGAATGTTTGTTTTCTCTACAACATTTTCAATGTGTTTAATCAGAGTTTAAATGTGTTTGAGCCTCAAGCCAACAAACTAGATAGGACTAGGACAGATGGGGCATCCAAGGTTTAAAGTATTGCGCAAGTATTGGGTGGT